AAAGGGGGGTTACCTGATGTTAGATAGGTACAACCATGACCTGACTGTAGAAGATCTTTTTCTTATTTTTATATTTATTTAATGACCACTTTGAGGTTTATGTAAGGTTTGGAATCTCAAACCTTGTTTAAAAACACAAACCTCAAACCTCTTCTTTATAGTGGTAAACCTCATATGTTTGTGTTTTTAAACCTCTCCAAAACCTCCCACTAAAGATGCCCTTACAAGTTGCATGAAATCGTGTCGTTAATTAGCCAGAGATTTGTATGTATTTAAGTATCTAATTAGCAACAAGGTAGTGTTACTAGTACAGGGGATGACTACAGTTTTGTTATGATACGTTGTTTTAACATTAATAATAGATAATGCTCTTCTACCTACGGTGGACACATGTGATGAAGATCGTGTATCTGTCTCAACTCGAATTGCTTGAAACCCGCGCCGACGCCTTGGTCCCGAAGCGATAGATTGCTAATACGCGCGCCGACGCCTTCGTACTTCGCGATAGTTGTGAAGAAACTCGGATGTTGGTCCTATTTCTAACACGATAGGTGTGAAGAAACTCGGATGTTGGTCCTATTTCTAACACGATTTTGTATGTAAACTCACACACAAGAGTTGGTGAAAAAACGTTCGATTTTCTATTAATTCTTCGATGATGAAAAATAATAAGAGTACATGGGTTTTTATAGGAGAAACTAGATCTAGTCCTATGAGAGCTATAATTCTAACTAGGAAATAATATCTAGTCCTAACGCAACTAAATGTCTTGCATATCAAGACTTAACAAAATATAAAATACCTAACCTAAACTAATTAAAACTCACGACTAATTAAATACTAACTTAACAAAACTAATCCTAACCTAAATCTAAGTATTAACGGCAATAAATAAAAATCCTAACAATCTAACATTAATCCTCCCACTAACAATTAACACCTAATGATACTAACAAAAGCTTACGCCACTAACAATTATTTAACCAATCTAATAATTGATCTAATTAACTAAACTAATAAGTAATTAAACTAACTAAACTAAATAATAATTAAT